CCTGCTTCCCTCACATTTGGAATCTATAACTGGAACAATATGGAAGAATCTTGAAGACAGCAACTGGTCCGATAAACCAGAGGCCATCAAACCAGTCCACTAAGCTAGGGCTGAAGGCTGAATCTGGCCCTTGCCTTGTGCTTGTAAATAAAGTTTTACTGGTACACAAGCAGACTCATTATAACTTTCATAATGACTTTCATAACCCTCAGTGTTCACAAAGCTGAGAATGCATTTCCCCTTACAGAGAAAGCTTGCTGGACTAGAGTCGGTGCTAAGCTGTCTGCATCTGTCTGACCACGACTTTCCAATCCAGGAAACTGTGACTTGAGGATATGATTAGATTGAAGGTAGGAGAGAGAACCTGAGAAAGAGCAAGGGTTGCCTTTATTTGAATCCCTCCATATGCACACTTAAAGTGATGGTACAGGGGACTAAGAGGCTGGGAGGGAAGAAATCGTGTGGGCTGGCTGTGTGTCTCACCTCCGTTTTCCAGCGACTCGGTTCTGAGCACCTCACTGCTTCTGGCTCATTACTCTCAAGCGTAAAGTAGAACAAAGCACCTGCAACAGGCTTGAGGTCCACGCTCTGAGGCAGTCCCCAGAATGTGGTGTGTGTCGGGGTGGGTGAGTATTTAGAGTCAAGAATCTCATGCAAATTGTAGTCAAGTAGCTTCCTCCTTAGGGCTGGCTAGCTGCTGAAAAAAAATATTGTCACTCATTCATTAAAATCATGTGGCACTCAAGATGGCACACAACATGCAAGAAAAGGAAATATAGAGACCGGACATCCACACTGAATCCCCGTGCTTCCAAAAACACTGTTTTAAAGAATGTAGAGGGGTGGCCATAGAAATGTAAAGGGAAGGTCCTTCAGGCCCGTAGAAAATATATGCAAACCTATACAAACTAAACTAAAAAATAAAGACATCTGGGGAGGGGAGGTTGGTGTGAGAATGTCCCCCGTAGGTTCCAGTGTTTGGACACCGAATCCCCAGTTGGTGTTGTTTGGGGGGAGGGTTAGATGAGGCAGTCTTGCAGGAGGAAGACTGCATCAACAGGGCAGGATTTGAGATTAAAAGCCTCTCTCCACTTCCAGTTTGCTCCCTCTGCTCTGAGAGGAGGTGAGCCCTCAGCTTCTGTTCCTGCCACCGTGCCTGTCAGATGTCACTGCCAAGATGGACGACTCTTATCCCCCCCGGAACCAAGGGCAACAGGAAAGTAATGACCATAGTGGTGCATGCCTGTAATCCCACCATCTGGAAGCTGAAGTCAAAAGGATCAGGAGTTCAAATCCAGCCCCAGACACATAGCAATTTTGAGGCCAGCCTGAGTTACAGGGAGCGGCGGGATAGAATGACTTTGGAAGTCTGGAGAGTCCCCCAAAAGAGAAACATGGAGTGACTGAATTGGATCCAGCAACTGTGCTGTTAAGGATTCCCAGGAAAACTGAAGACCACATGAAACCAAACACAAATCTCAAAGCAACGTGATTCATAGACACCAAAAGAAAGAGATCCAAATATCCAACCACAGAGGAGCTCCTGAGCAAGTATTGAGGACATAGTCACACAGAGTCCCAGAGGAGTCCCTGGGCTTCTGGTCTCAGTACTTCTGATGTTGGATCCAAGTTCTTGTGTGGGGGCTGGCCTGAGCACTGGGAAATGCTGGGCAGTGGTGTGGCCTTCACCACCGAGGCCAGCGGTACCCCTGGACCCTTTGGCAATCAAAAATCATTTTCAGAGCTGGCAGGATGGTTCAACGGGTAAAGGTGTTCGCAGCCAAGCCTGAGGAGCTGAGTTCAATCCCTGGGACCCACACAGCAGAAGACCACAAACTACTGCAAGTTGTCCTCTGACCTCCACAATAACTCCATGCCACACACATGTCCACATATATACATAGAACATAAAGACATAAGAAAATGCCTCCAGACATTACTGAATGGCGCAGGGAGTTGGGGATCAAAGTCTCCCTCTAGTTCAAACCTGGCTGGCTTAGGTCAATCCTTTCCAGGTCCCATGAGCCACCCGAAATCTTAGAATACCAAGGGAGAAGGACTCCAGATGCCACTCTGTTCACCCTTCACAGAAGAGCACACAGGCCAGGCAAGGTATGCAGAGACACAGCAAATCCAGGGAAACTTAAGGAGACTGATTTCTTTGAATTTGGAGATCGGCCTGGAAGGCAGCACTTCCGAAGACTGAGCATCGTTAGCTAGCACTGTCACAACAGCATGCCACACAGACTGGGCCATTCAAACAGCTGAGTTATTTTTCCAGGGCTCTCAGAGGGCGACAGCGGTAGGCCGATTTCTCCTGCCGTCTCTTCCCATGACCAGCCTTCTCCTCTCTTCTCTCCTGGCAGTCCCTCTGTGTATGGTAGCTCATGTGTCTGCCTCTCTCTGTTCCTGTAAGGACCAAGCCCACTGGGCTTATCATAATGCTTCCTTTGAATTCAGTTGCTTCTGTTTTTGAAACGTATTTTAAAAATCACAATTATTTCCTTGGCATGTGTGTATGTACGTGTGTACACCCGTGGAGGTCAGAAGCCAACTTATTGATATGGTTTCTCTCGTTCCACCGTGTGGGTCCCCGGGATCAAAACCGGGGGTTGTCAGGTTTGGCAGCGGGAGCTTTTGTGTACTGAGCCACGTACGGACCTATCAATCACCGATTTAAAGACCCACCCTCCAAACAACCACATTCTCCAGTAGGGGGTAAGGCTATAACATATTACTTTTGTGACTCACAACTCAGCCCACGACAAGAACAGTAGGACCCTAAGATGCAGCCCACTTGTCAGGGCTGCCCTAAAATGCTAAGTTCCCCTTCTAGGACATCCTACCAAATCCCTTCCTGGCAATGACAGGTGGATAGACGAGGAGGCTGGAGAGATGGTCCGTTGGTTAAGAGAGTGTACCGCTCATCCAGAGGAGCCAAGTTTGGTTCCTAGCAGCTATACTAGGTAACTTGAAACAGCTCCGACCTCCAATGCCTCTGGCCTCCATGGGTACCTGTACTCACACACACCACAGCCCACATACGCATAACAGCCCACATACAACATATCTTTTTATTTTTAAAGTGGAAGCTTTTGCTTCCACAGGCCAGAGAGCAAATTTCAGGGAAAACACCTCCCCTGTTACTCTTGGGGGCTCCACTGAGGACCCCCATTTCCCATGCCGCAGGGGCAGGAAACTCTCTTCACAGTGGATGGCACCACCTTGGCTGAAGCCAGAAATACAGTGTTATCCTCCTCCCCTCCATCGCCCTTCCCCCCACCATGCATTTGTGTCCACGAAACAGATGAGAAGACCCACTGAGCTCAGGACTGTGGATGGGAGTGCAGAGGCAGCCTTTTTAGCAACATATCACACAGGGTGTGATCACAATGTGCCCTCCACAGACGTCTGGAGACACACAGGATTCGGAATTCCCATCAGGCAGGTGGTGTGTGTGTGACCTTGAGCCAAGAAGAAGCAGAACACTGGTCCTCTCCCACCTCCGAGGACCAAAAGGAGAGAGTGCTACAGAGGAGGGGTACATGAGTAGTCCCCTCATATTGTTCTTTGTCACCTAAGGATGGCTAGGGAGATCCACCCATGTTTTGTCCTGGGGTGAACAGAGACTGAGAAGGGGGTGGCAAGGGACAGTAAGTAGCTCGTTGCCAGCAGCAGACCTGTTTTCTTCTTTCTCCCTGAGGATCCTGGGCCCCAGAAATGCCAGGTCCGGGAATGAGTCCTGGTTTGCTGTCCCACCAGATGGCCCTCTACCTACAGTCATTGTTTTGGGGGCATCCTGAGTCACAATCAATACCAGGCACACACTGGGAATGGAAAAACCATGCAGCTGGTGCCACCAAGTGGCACAGTCAGCAACTGTCAGCATACACGCCACCAGCCACCAAGCAAGCGCTCAGCTGTATCGGCTGCAGCCAGAAGCAAAGGCCCTTAAGGTCATGCCTGACTCTCTCTGTGGTCCCCCGCAATGCTAAATCAGGTCAGCGAGCTTATTTGTGTCAAATAAATCAACCGAGCCAACTGGTGAGCTGCCTTGAGACTATTTGTCTTGGGCTGGCGCTAAGCACAGACTGCAGGCAGGTTTGGATGCTGTGGAGGGAGCCCAACGAGCTTGACCTGGAGGGCTGTCCAGATCCATGCCCTCCAGTAAAATGTGTGTTCAGCATGGGGGAGGGCGGAGCTGCGAGTGCTTACCGGAGACAGCACAGCATCACACAGAGGCTGCTAGGGAATATGAAGGACACTTAAGGGACACCTTCACACACTGGAGTCCCCAAGCCTTAAAATACAAAAACAAAAAACCACAATGTGGATGGGGGTAGGATATGGGCTGTCCCAAGCATGGGTCCTCTTTCCCCATGCTTCCTATTCTGGAAGATCATGGGCCATGGAGCCTCCCCGGGCCTTTTTTATTTCCATCCTTTTAAAGATATATTGTATTTGTATGGTGTTTTGTGTTTGTGCATTCCTGGTTCACAGAAGACGGGAGAGGGCGTTGGCTTCCAGTGCTGTTACAGATCCTTACGAGCCATTACGTGGGAGCTGTGAATCGAATCCAGGTCCTCTGGAAGAACAGCAAGTCCTCCTAACTGATGAGCCATGACACCCATCCCACTTCTCATTCTTTTATGTCTGCTTTTAGTGATTCCTCCCACCCCCCAGAATCAACATGCCCAAGAGCTCTGGAGTGCCTGACATCTCTCTTAGCATTCCCTGGACAATGCGCCTACTCCCCAGAGATGCTCCACATGCTCAGTGCTGGCTTTGGAGAATGCCTGGAATTTATCTGTGAAATACAAAAATACTTCTTTCCCCGCTGGGTAAAATCAGATGAGGAGAAAGGGTGATGAATGTAGAACCAACAGGATGGCCGTTACAAAGGGCTTTAGCCTCTCACTTCTCCGAGCTGGACCATCTGAGTGGAAGGTCTGGGAGGAGTCAGCAGTGAATGGATAAAGTCAGCCTGCCAGGAACACGGCAGTGTGACTCCATTTTTATTTATACACGCACATAAAATAACACATTTAGACACAAAATGCTATCCTTTGGGGACTAGGAACCTAAAGGGCTCAATTTCATTTTGAAGGCTTGTTTTTAGGATTTCCTCTTTGTAAGAGACATGAGAGGCAGCCCTTCCCAGGGAAGCCCTGCTTAGGAAGTATAACATGCTCTGGGCATCTCCGCTCAAGGCCATGGAGTATCTCATCGAGTGAAAAGAGTCTGCGCACACACAGCTCTGGGCATCCCCACCAAAAGGTAGCTTTGCTTACACTTACACAGGAGTTCGAAGGCTGTTTCTATAGGCGCAGGGCCGCACACACGACAAGCACATGGTACCCAAGACAATCAGAGAAGGAAGTTGAAGAAAACGTTTGTCCAGGTTTGATCTGTCTTCAGGATGCCTCGGGGAGGGGTTGCTTTGAGGTCAACTGGGGTCCCTGTGGCTAGTGTCCACCTCCCCTGTGCAAAATACAGTATACACAGAGCAATGAAGAGATAAGGCTCTGGCCATGTTTAGCTCAGTAGTGGGATCTGGTCAGAGCCAGGATGTGGAATCCGTAAATGTGTTAGCTTCCACTCTGGTTGGCAATGAGAATGAGAAACCAAAGCCTGAAAGTCAATTTTACCCAAGTTCATGAATGCCCAGGCTCTTGTGAGGTGGGTCAGGATGCTGGCCACAGACTTCACTCCACTGCTCTACTCACACACAGTACACAACTGCACACACACACATACATACACACACTCACACACGGCCAATGCATGACACATGCCTAGAGCAACACACAGATCATCACATTTATCATCCAAACCACCAACACTTAAGAAAGAAAATATTTTATTAAAACTTAAAAAACAACTGTGTGTGTGTTTCAGCACATGTTTCAACATGAAGCCCAAGCTGTTCTTGGACTTGGACTTGGATTTCTCCTGCCCAGCCTTCTGAGTGCCAGCAACTAACCTCAGTGTTCCATTCACACAGGGCAAGACAAACACGTGCGTGGTGTGCTCTCTCTCTCTCTCTCTCACACACACACACACACACACACACGCTCCTATCTTAGAACAAGCATGGCCAGTGGTCTAGAACCAGCGTTGTTCATGACACACAGCTCCAGGTCATCTGGGCGTGTTTTGACCATAGGCTTACACTCTGGACCACACAGAACAGCCTGTCTCTAGTTCTGCTGTTTAATCCCTTTTGGCCCTACGGGTTCAGAGAAACGTCCAGTCCTGAGAGCTGCAACCACATGCACACTGAAACACCTGAACAGCTGCTCTTCCTGTTTTAACTGGCGAGTTGATTTGTTGTTGGTTATTGTTCAGAGCCAGGGTCTCATTTTGTGGAGCCCAGATTGAGCTCAAGTGCACAATCCTCCTGCCTCAGCTTCCCCAATGTTGGGATTACAGCCCCTACATTCTGCTAGACCTCTTTCTTTATCTTAAAGGCTGTGGCTTGTGTTTCTTAGTCCTGAACTCTCACAGGGAATGGCCTAGGCCTCTTTAGATGGCTGCTAGGGTTCAGCTGGGAGTCAAGAGTTGGTGGCATAGGCATAACCATTGGTGGCGAACCAAACCACCTTCTACCATTCACATCTTTGAAAATGGACTGCACAAGGGATGCTGCAGACATGCAACTTCGAGAAAGTGGCAATGCTGGTACCCAGAGCTGCAGTCACACCAGGACGAACTGTCTAAAAACGCCCAGAAAGAACCTTGCCTGGAAGGTGACACATTGGCAACAGACGTACTTACACAACTGGGAAGAAAACTGTCCTGGTAGCTAGGCTCTCTTTAGGCTCAGTTCGTTCTTATCTTGCACTCACACTATGCCTTCTTAAACAGAATGAACCCCCAGGAGCCTTCGGGGACAGCCCCCCTCTCACCCTACCCCCACTCCACCGATAGCTCACAGACTTCCAGCTCATTCTGCAGACAACTGTCCGCCGGGTGGACGGCGAGCTCACTAAGGACACTGTGCGTGCATGGTGCCTTGAGGCAGGAATGTGCTGTTATGCTGGCATGTCCTGTGGGGATCACAGCATAATTTAATCAGCACTTGAGCACGGGATTTCTCTGGGGTGGGGAGATAATGAAGTCAGTGCTTAGTGCTGGCAGTCCGTTCAGCCTAGGGCACAGCCGTGACCTGGAGCTGGGTTGTTACCTAGGCACTGCCAGTATGCGCAGCCTGACTGCCCTCAGCACCGTGGACCAGGGAGCTGCAACTGCAGACGCCCATTAGGGACAAGTGAGACCTTTCCTAGTCCAGCTTTGGATAGTATCTCCAGACACTGCCAAGTGTCCCTTGAGGGCCAGGGATTGGAGAAGGGACGGGCCCTGTGTTACAAACCATTGCCCGAACTCTATTAGAGAGATGGGTTTGTGAATGTGAGTTAATTGCCCGAGTGTCACACGAGGGACAGTTAATCGAGAAGAGGCTGAGGTTTAAAACCCCAGGAGTCAAAGGGTGGATGATGGAGAGTTTGAGGCTAGCCTGGGATATAGAGAGACCCTGACTCAAAGGCAAAAGACGTGAGGGGAAAAGAGGAAAGGAGAGCAAGAGAGATATATAATTATTTCAGGCTTCATTCATTTCAAAATGCTCTGTAGTAAAAAATGGGAAGAGAATAAATGATCAATCAAGACACAGAGCGGGTTTGGCTCAGTGTGAGTTATTACACACAACTAATAGCACATGTGTACATTATCATTTAACTCACGGATACACACTTAGGACCAGCAAGTTGACTCCATGGGCAAAGGCACCGCCTCCAGGACAGACCTGAGTTCCATGCCAGAATCCACAATGGTGCAAGAGAGAACCAACTCCCAAAAGTTGGCCTCTGACCTAAACCATGGTTCCCATGTGTCCTCGACCCCCACGATAACAAAATGTAATTTTAAAAAGAGATTTATTTTTACTACCTTATTTGCAAGTGTGTGTGGTGTCTGTGTGAATGTGTGTCGCATATTTGGGTGCCTGTGGAGGCCAGAAGAGGTCACAAATCCCATCAGTTGTGAGCCTCCCAACGTGGATGCTGGGAAATGAAGCCAGGTCCTCTGGAAGAGCAGTAAGCACTCTTAAGCACTGAGCCAACTTCCCCTGCACCTTGAATATTCGAAGTTAAAAAAAGATCTTTATAACCCAGACTCAATGTCCAATATAAGCTGACACACACAGGACTGTGATCTTTAAAATAAATACAGACTGGAACACTGAACTCTTAGGAAGTAGCTTAGGGCATGATTGACACATCACACTCAGTGTCACACTGAAGCCATGAAGGATGTCACGCAGGCCTGCAGATTACAAACCCACTGGCAGTGTTTTCCAGGGGGAAGCATGCCCTAGGTGCGTGGTTTCTGTTTTTATTTTGACTGGAAAGTCACAGAGGAAGAGGAAAATAGCTGGTGCTTATCTCTAGACTGGGTGACTTTTAGGCTATTATTTTATCATTAGTGTTGGGTCCAAAAAACAAAAACAAACAAACTCTTGTACTCAAAACTATAGCCTCTGATTCTAGGAACCCCATCAAGGGAGCTGAAAACCCCATCAAGGGAGCTCTGCAAGGGAGGTGAGGCAGAGTTCTTCACTGGCCAGTGACAAACACACACACACACACACACACACACACACACACACACACACACACCCCTAACTGATTAAAGCACAAACCCTACATTCCGCAGCCACGGCCAATGGAAAGTGACGTTTGTGTTATGGACTGAGTGGATGCAGACACCGCTGCTCTCCCGTCTGGGATAACTGAAGAACTGAAGGCCACCCATTCTTAGGGCAGAGGGTGTGGAGGCGAGTCTGCACAGGACAATGGGGCAGGACTGGAGATGAAGTTCTTGTGTGGGTTTGATCGTTCAGTCGTGGCTGGGGCTCGGGAGGGCCTCTTGCTATCTCCTCATCTACCTAGTGGAACTCCAGCAAACTGCATTCTTGACCGCAATGGTGCAGACCGTGCACACGACGTGCCTTCCCAGTGCCAAGTCAGGGAGCATCGGCAACACGCCAGACTGTTCACATCGAATGTGTGTCACCTCTCTTAACGGTGACGCACAAACAGTGACTCAGGGCAGAGACCAATCATCATCGATGCCGACCAAGTCTGTAGACTAGTATCAAAAGCTAGCATGTGCCTATAATCCCAGCAGCTGGCAGGTGCAGAGAGCAGAGTCAGAAGTTCAAGGCTGCTGTCAAACATATACCGCGTTGGAGGTCAGCCTGGGCTATGGAAACCCTGTCCTAAAAAAAAAAAAAAAAACAAAAAACAAAAAACGAACAAAAAAAGTTACCAGAAAGAATGAGTATGCCAGAACATTCCAATACGTGCCAGATTTCATGAAGCTTGATTCAACATACTGAGAAGTCCAGAGCAAACAGCACAGAATCTAACACTAAAAGTTGATTCCCTGGCCAGGGCCACGGCTCAGCAGCAGAAAGTTTGCTAATCACACACCAAGTCCTGGGTTGGATCCCAACACGGCAAGACAAAACGAGAAGACAACTGCCCGCAGTCTGTCCTCCCTTCTGTAGAGATGACAGAAGACAATTCAGGAGGAGGAAGCAGGAGGGAGCTGAAGGACATTCCATCCTGAAGGCGCACACAGCTGGGAGTCACGGCTCCAGGCCGCTGATAGGAAATCTTGAGACTCATGGCCGGTCCCAGGCCAACCTGGTCCAAAATCACAAAACATCATGTCCTACCCTAAGGGGTGGCAAGGGGTCTGGGGAGAAGTGTTTGTTAATGGGTGGCCTGATGGCCTGAAAACAAAATGGGAGCACTGGGGGGTGTCTTGACCTTAGGCTTAAACCCCCATGTCAGTTACTGGTGACAACTACCACCCCTGTAAGCCCTGGACATGGACCTGCTTCTGGGATGTTCTCTAAGCCATGGCAACCACATACATCTCCCACTGAAACTCTCTAGAGGCTGGAATAAGAACTTGGGAGTTTTTTTCCTTATGAACTACAGGGAGAACAAGTGTTTGCCTCTGACACACAGCCAGGATCGGAGAGCAGAGAAGAATGAATGATGCTTCGAATGCACACTTTCGTCTGTCCCCCACTGGCTTCTGCGACAGACAAGGGACAGGATCCCCCACCTCAAGGCTGAGGAGTTTCAACATGGACACGGCGACGGCAAACTCTACTGGGATAGTCAGGCAGAGGTTCAGGCTTCTGACCATCATTTCAGGTATATGAGAACACCCAGGCAACTCTGTGAAGACTCAGGGGGGACCAGCACCTCCTTGAGGGTCTATGCACCCCTGAATGTTGGCATATGGATACAAGGACTGCTGGTCAAAGGTTAAAACAGAACCAAAAATAAGTCCCTACACCCTCACCCCTGCAGGCAAACTTTCATCTGGTGCAGGAGAGACGTCACTAGTGGCACTCAGGAACCAGGGCAACTGTCGCCTCCTCGAGTGCATTCAGCTGGACAGGCAAAGGTGTGCTGCGAAAACCCTGCACCGTCCACTGCTCTGGAAAGTCAATAAATAACTACAACAAAGGATCAAACAGAAGCAAGCACCGGCCCCTGACCAGCGGTACCAGTGGTCCCAGTGGTCCCAGGGCCTCGTCCAGCCTCCTCTACAGAACAGCTCTGTCCATCCGCTCCAGCTGACGATGAGGGAGCCTGAGACCCCCGATGCCACAAGACACGGTCAAAGCCAAGGATCCTTTTGTGGCTTTCTCGTTCCCGATCTCACGTGGACCACACTGGTTCTGTGTGTGTCCGTCAGGCCTCACTCGGGGAAGAGTTCAGGTGGGCTCTCTCCATAGCAGTACTTGGCTATGGGGTCACGGTATGTGTTCTCGTGCTGCACGCTCTGTCGGTGAAGAGAGACAGGAGCACGTTAGAGAGGGTCAGCTGCAGTGACGGCCACACACTCCCGCCCACTCCACCTCCAGGGTGCCTAGGGATTTCGAGAAACTTTCTAGAATGGAGTAGGATTCATCGCACTGAGTGCCATGGAAACAGACAGGACAATACCGAGTCCTTTCTTCTTTTGTTGATGACGGAGCTTTTTAAACAACCTGGCTGCAAGCTGGGCGTTCTGAAGCTACTTTTCAATCCATCCAAAATACGGCCTAGGGATACGGTGCAGCTGGCAGAGTGCTTGCTTAGTCAAGCCCTGGGTTTGACCCCCAGCGCCTCATAAAACTAGGTGCAGTGGTGCATATTCTCAGCAGCACAGTGAGCAACCTGGCTACCTGAGATCCCCACTCAAACAACAAAACAAGGGCAGGCGACACAGTACTGGCTTCCAAGCCTGAGGATCTCAGCTTGGTCTCCGGGACCCACACGGGAGAATGAGAAGTGAATTGTGCAAACTGTCCTCTGACCTCCACATGCGTGTGGTGGCATGCCCTCATACATGCACAATAATAAACATGGAGAGAACACAGACAAAACAAACCTGAAACAGATGGTGACATAGTGGGATTGTCACCTGACCCTGTGGTCAGAGAGACCCAATCCCTGGTGAGGAGTCCTGACAAGGGACGGAGGAGACTGAGAAGGTGACTAAGTTCCCGTGTGTAAGCCAAGCACCTTCACGAAGAGCCCCTCTGGCTGGGCACAGCAAGTGAAGTTAGTCCAGACAATCCCCTCCCCCAACCCCTGATGGTGGATTTTCCAGCAACTTCTTGCCATACCAGCAATTTGAGTTTTTGGCTGGTCTAGAGCTCATTAATTAGCCTCTAACTGAAGCTATGCACCATATTAATTCCGCTTAACAGACTTGCAGCCCAGACTCTGGGCACAAGAACCAAGTGGCCATTGAGAACTGTCTCAATGTGCTGGAGATAACTTCCGGCTGTGTCAGCTAGAGGAAGCTACTGTACCAGTTCCCCTTTTCCAGCGTTAGCAGCCGGGAAGATCAAGGGCATCAGCTCAGTCTCCTTACACTTCCTTTATGTGTGAGTCTTACGTCACACTTCCTCACACTTCACCTGGGAAGCTCCCCGTCAAGACCAGTGGGACTGCACATGCGCAGAGCTCCCTCTATCCCGACCCAGGATCTTCTCAGGTAAACCAGAGATGGAAAGGGGGATTAGCAAGCACAAATCCAAAGTTTACAGTGTGCCGGACACAGACATGAGCCGGTTATCGCAGAGGAGTGGAGTGTGCTTGTGTAAGAGACACATGTGGTCCAGCCACAAAGGCAGGCAAGATGGCGTAGCATGGAAAGGCGCTTGCCGCCAAGGCAGGGGACCTGAGCTTCATCCTCAGGACCCACGTGGTGTAGGGAGAGAACTGACCCTTATAAGTTGTCTTCTGACTTGTATCGGTGTCCCTGAGCCCAGGATAAATGTAAAAGGAAAAATTAATGAAGGTGGGGGCAGAGGCCCTCCAGGATACACCCTGGCCGGCAGGTGCATGCCAGGAGAGCAGAAGGCTTCAGGGCAGGCAGTTTATCCATGTGCCCCAAACCCACCCCCTATCCCTTTGGATGCTGAAGCAAACAACAGCTGTGCCCCAGGACAAGTGACAGCCTTCTCTCAATGACTGGTGCTGGATCTTTATATCTCAACCCCCAATAACAGCAGAACACAGTGTCAATGAAGGCCCTTTCCACCCTGGCTCTGCACGGAATGACTGGCTAGAGTTCTCCAGCTCTGACTCCCTCCTTCCTCCCCAGCAGCACTTCTGACCTGGGACGAGGTTCTGCATTTAGCCAAACATAGTTCGAAGTGGTCTTCAACTGCCATGAAGAGGTTCTGGAAGGCCACAGCTGCCCGGTTGAGGAAGCGCTCCAGTAGAAGTTGCTATGGAAACAAGGTATTCAGTACTGGTAGGAACTGCTGGCCAAGCCAGCCCACGGGGAGGTCAGAGGAAGGGTAAGAGGGAGCCGAGTTTCTCATTCACCAGATACCTGTAAGCAATAGCATGGTCCTCTCTGCAAAGTGAGTCAGGGCTCAGCTCCTCTCTTGGGAGAGGCCTCTGCACCCACAGAGCACCTCAGGAGGTGCCTAGCCTCCCCCCAAAGGGTGCACAAGACAAGGGAGAGGCAGCTGGAGGCTGTACCTTGCTGGGCTGCAGACAGCAGGAAACGCAGTGCTCATAGGCTCCACAGCAGCCGTTGGCCAGACATCCATCACAGCAGTACTGCTTTGTGCTAGAGACACTGACATCGCAGCAGCCATTCGCCAGCAGGTCCTTCCTCTCGCAGACATAGCCTGAAAACCAGACACAAAGCTCAGCGGAAGCTAGCAACCTGCCCGCCCTCTGGGGGTGAAGAACCAAATGCCCGGGAAGAGGGGGGACAGCTGCTGGGGCACCCTCAGCACCAGGACTAGAAGTGGACACAAGGGTTGGCTTCGCCTGGGCGGAGGAAGATGGGAAGTTGGACTACTCAGTCATTGTTCCACATTGTCATCGCGCTCAGCCACTTTCAGTGAGCTCATCACCATGCCAACACTCATGCAGTAGAGGTGCTAACACAGGCAAGCAATCTTTTACCTGGGCCTCTTAAAAAAAAAAAAAAAGTCAAAACAGGAAACAGCAAGGCACCCATTCACAAAAAAAGCGAGTGCTCTGTGGATTTAAAAGGCAAGCACACAGTTTCTGATGTGTTTTACACGCTTGTTTCTGTTGTGGAAATTTGAAGGGGCTGTTAAAATAGGAGGCCACAGTCCACCTTCGTTAACTCTGCTGCCAGTGTTTGCACCCAGACATGACTGTACACAACCACCTCCTACGTTGTTTTAGGAATGGAGTTCGAAAATCCTCAAGCAAGAGAAAAACCCAATTTGCCCCACAGCTGAGAAACGCCATGGCGAAGAAGCACATCCAGCGTCAGCCAGGCCTCCTCACTGGGACTGCTTTACTGCTCAGAGCCTCTGGGCACAGCTCCTGCACCCTTTGGGGAGCAGGTCAGAAGACTCTAGGTATAAGTCCATGAGGGCCACCACCCAACCCCAGACATGCTCCCAGTGGCCAGTCAGGCCCTCAGGTGTGCCAGGTGCTCCTGGATATGTGGGGGGAGGGGGCCTCTCAGGTGTATGCAGGGACCCTTAGGTATTTGAGTGGACCCTCAGGTATGTGCTAGGACCATTGTGTGTGTGTATATACCCTTAGGAGTGTGTGTGTGTTGGGGGGGGTCAGGTATTCGCAGGGGCCCGCAGGTCTGCGTGTGCATGCGTGTGTGTGTGTGTGTGTGTGTGTGTGTGTGTGTGTGGACCCTCAGGTTAAGTGTGTGCACAGGGACCCACTGGTGTGCGTGGGAGCCTGCAGGTGTCTGTGGGGGTGCGCAGGTGTGCAGCAGCTATTCCCAGCCAGCCCGCCTGAGTGCTCCAGCTCTGTCCTCAGAGAATGAGGCTGGTGGAGGAGAAGTTGTTTTCAGCGCTGCTCTGGAAAACAAGAGCACGCAGGAGCAGGCGCTGCGGGCTGAACACTGACAACAGGGACACTAGAGGGCCCTCACTCAATACTTGGGAGACCAGGAGAGAACCATTCCCCGCCACCTGGGAGCTGGCAGCTCCTGTTTTGTTTCTGCTTCTGTGTCTCCGGAGTGAAGAGATACACATTCTGATGTCCTAGTAAATGCTTCCTTCCCAGCTGCCCCCACTCACGCTGTTGACAAGGATGCTAAATGGAATTCCCAGAGAGCCAGCACATTCCCCAGGATTCTACCCGGGATGATAAACAACACGGCAAGTCTCTGTTATCAAGAAGACAGACAATATCACACACCCCAAATGCCACCTGCTGGCACACCTGTCCTTTCCTTTGGAAAGCTGTAAATTAACACTTCAGGCCCCTTTCTTTCCACTGCCAACTCCCAGCTCTTGGCCTTGAACTCTGGTGTTCACCTCTCAGTGGCTGGGTCTAACTTCTGGGGAGAAAAACTCAGGCCTTTTACTGTGTATCAAACACCAAGCAAAAGTTACCTTTTACCCTTTCAAGAGATGTGTGTGTGTACATGGGAGTGCAGATTCCCGCAGAAGCCAGAGCAGGGCCTTGGATCTCTGGGAGCTGAACTTACAGGCAGTTAGTGAGCTGCCTTTGCTGGATGCTGAGAATCGCAACCAAGTCCTCCTGTAAAAGCACCCATTGCTCTTGGCTGCTCACCCATTTCTCCAACCCCTTCTTTTTGTTGATAAATAAAAAAAACACAAGAGCTGTGCATAAAACTGGGGCACCCTGATGTTTCAAGACTGGGCAGTGGCAACACTGGGAGGCAGAGGCAGAGGCAGGTGGATATGTGAGTTCAAGGCCAGCCTGGTCTCCAGAGTGAGTTCCAGGACAGCCAGGGGTACACAGGGAAACCCTGTGGTGCTTCTCAGCTCTGCGATGTTGTTCTCCCCAAGTCCTGGGAGACCAGGGCCAGCAAATGTGTTGGTCTTGCCTGGGAAATTAACTTCCAGCTTTTGAGAAGTTTGCGACTGTAATTGGCTATCTTGCTTAACAATGCCGTCACCCTAGTGGCATGGCAGCATCTCGTTGCTAAACAGCATTAACAGGTGCAAGTTTTCTTTATTAAACTACTTTTCCCATATTTGTTAAGGCCCCTGTGGGATTTTTATCGATTGAGAAGCTGAGTATTCAATTTTTTTTTTTAAAGGAATCTGTGAGTCTTTGTCTGACCTAAATTAACCATTTGTAGCTACAATAAAGGGAACTGACAAGCTGCCATCAGATACTGAAACTTCCTGTTTTCAAAGTCTGTAGACACAAGCCCTGGACTCCAAGCCAGGGCCTGGTCAGCCTGTCAGCTAACAGTATCTTCAGTCCTGTGCTCAATTTCATTTTTTATAAAAGGATTTCATAGGCCAGCAAGGTGGCTGGGCCATAAAGGTGCTCCCCAACAAGCCTGACAATCTGAGTCCAATCCCTGGGATCTACGTGTGAAAGGAGAGAACCGACTCCTACAAGTTGTCCTTTCACTGCCACATACAGGACCTGCTATATGCACATACACACAGATATACACACACACATGCATGTGCATGCACGCATGCACACACACACACACACACACACACACACACACACAGATGAGGAACCCTGTGTCTGTGCCTGGTAGGAGTGGCTTGGGACTGAGGCCAGGGTGGAGCCATAGGCAGAGGGAACTGCTAGGAGTTCTCAGCCAGCTTCCCAGATGCTGCATGGAACCTGGGATAGGGAGGAGGTATGGAAGATAGGCACGAGCAAGAAGGGAGAAAGCATTGTGAGGGGGGAATAGCAAACCCAGAGACTCAGAGCCTGGAGCGCAGAGGAAGGAGGTGTACCCAGCTCATCAGTGATGAGGTGTTTCCCTTGAACGGAGTTCCGGCACTGGTTGCTGGGTCGGCTGCTGTTGCCCAAGTTAAACTGCACCTTCCACGGGATGGGCTGTTCACGGTCTTGAACTTGGAGGAGATTCCGATCTCTCACTGCCCTCTCTTCCTGCAAATGAGGCCACAGGGGGAGAGGAAGGTTTGAGGTGCTTTTTCTGGACTCGGCCTAAAGGAATCAACATCCCCACCTCCCTACCCTTACCCCCACCTTCTGGCACAGGCCTGGCCTCGGCAAAGCCACAAAACAAGCCATCAGGAAAATGTGTCAAGTTTACGCTGTGCTCCCCAATTGCTGTGTTGATTTGCAAGGCCCCAGAAGCGGACAAGAGTCTATGAAGTTCGGTGGGAGGGGGGGAACACGACTTTTCTCTCTGCCAGCAAGTTAAGTTTTTAAATACTAAAAATACACACACCACGGAACAGAACACAAAGGCCAAATACTTTCACAACCAGGAGGAGACTACGTTATTCTGATCATCTCAGACTGTCACCTGTCACCTCTAGACCACCGGGCCTCAGCCATAGAAGTGACAAGTAGTATTCACTGTAGAAAAACTGAATCAGGGGGATGACTCTAGGGGCAAGACAGAGGCCTGAAAACTTGCAAAGGTCTTTTGTTTGGAAAAGCACAGGGCAGTCATCCGTACAACTGCTTCTGGATGCCATTCACAGCCCTTTGCCTAGCCAAGGCAGGGGAGGAGTGGTCCTGGGGGTGAGAGCCTGAATCCTTGCTTGGACAGGAGCCACAGCATTAAACTAGGAGGAAGCAGCCGAGCTAGCCAAGCACAAGACAGCCACCTCTGGAAGCTTTTAGCCATGAATGGACAACAAAAGACTTAAGAGAACCTCTCCCATTGGCTTGTTTTATGTTTTAAGATATAGCTTCTCATCCTGTAGCCAGGCTTGCCTGGAACTCACAGCAATCCTTCTGCCTCGGCCTCCCAAATATTGGGATTATAGGTATGAGGTGCCATGACCTGTTGGTTTTGGAGGTTTTAAGGCAGCATCTTCCTCAGCAGCCCGGACTGGCCTCTGGGTCCTCCGGTCGGTGGCAACCTGCCAGGACCTGGGATTATAGGATTCTGGTGTGGACCACAGCTTCTATCTTGACAGCAGGCATCACCAAGCCTGCTATCTTGATGGCTTACATTTTTAAGCATCACCAGTGGTACTCTGTAACCAAGGAGCATATCTGATGGCAACACAGACAGTTCAGAAAACTAGACTGGAACGTTGTCATTACTGTGGGAAAGCACCCTGGGAAACTGTCGATGAAGATGCGCACACCTTGCTCTAGGAAACTCTTCAGTGAGTGCCACCCTATGGAAACCACATGCTGAGCTCTCCCGCAGCTCTGTTTCAATGGCAGGGGAAAAAACAACACAGAAATGCCCGACTAAATGCCAGCACAGTCACACAGTATCATCAAACCAAAGTTCTCATGACACCATTCCTCCAGATTGGCTCTGCTTAGGCTTCCTCCACCTGGGACTCTTCTGTGCTCCAAAAGTGTTTACATGACCCTGGGTATTCAGGTATACAAAAGATTATATATATATATGGCTGGAGAGAGGGCTCATCAGGTAAAAGCACTGGCTGCTCTTCAGAGGACCCCAGTTTGGCTCCTAGAACTAGCGTTGGGTGGCTCACAACCATTTACAACTCTGGCTCCAGGATCCTGTGATCTCTGTGGGTACCTGAATTCATGTGCACATCGCCACACAGAGACACACATGCACACACAAAAATTACAATGTAAAAAGTTGTTTAAAAACTGTCCTTAATCATTCTTGGAATAATCTTATTTTTCATTTTATACGAAAATCTGCTGATTGTTAACATCGGGAGGAATTAACTGAACTGGAGAAACTGTGCCATCCTTGCATGCTTCCTGTTAAGCTATCATCACCCCCCACACACACCCCCGAAGAAAAGGTTTACTTAAAAAACAGTGCTTATCAACATGAAACTCAGAAATCCCAATAAAAGCAGGTTTGTTTTTGGAATATTCACCTCTGACCTCTGACCCAGTTTATACTGGCGCCACTGTCGGCTGTTCTCCACACTAACTGGATAGGAAAGCATTTCCAAGGACCCACGTTATCTGGACAATCACATCTTCATGGATGGATAATAATCCATCATGCTGATGTACCATCATTAAGGAAGCGCAGCCCCCACAGACCAGCAACAGCCCTGGCCTGCTCTCAGCATAGTGCAGTTCAGTGTGGCGCTCTGAGGAAGTCCTGTCAATCAGTGGCAGCAGCAGGTACTAGACTGTGCCATACAACCTCTCCAGGGTTTGATGAACCATCAGCAGCACTTAGACAGGTGACCTCTCTCCTACCACAAGCCCATCAGGACTGGATCCCCCTCCTTCAAGGTGCTCAATGTAAAACAGTCTCTTCCAGGTGGCTTTCATGTGCCCTGCCTTTTTGTTTCTTTTAAAAGATATGGCAGCCGGCGTGGTGGCACACATCTTTTTTTTAGTCCCAGCACTTAGGAAGACAGAGGCAGGCGGATCTCTGTGTGTTCTAGGCTGGCCTGGTCTATAAAACAAATCCAGGACAGACAAGGCTACACAAAGAAACCCTGCCTCGGAGGATGGGGTAGGGGTAGGGAAGAAGGTATGGGTAGCAGGCAGAGGACAGGACTCAGTAGCTAAGTCCTAAGTTACAGAGAGGGGCTGAGTGCAGGAACCCTGAGGTGCTCCGTAGCTGACGCCTGGAGCAATGCATCCCAGAAAGATCTCCACCATAGGCTCCACCCCAGTGAACAGCAGAGTGGGTCTCCAGCAGCTGAACTTGTCAAACACGAATATTCAAAACCTCTGCCAAGAGGACTGTGTGGCGGGGGTAAAGTGCAGCCGTGCCCACCTTTGAAGGCTGGTGGCAGGATGGCACAGAGAGGCAGATCACCTTCCACCCAATGGGTACTGGTCCTCCCCAGAGAGTTCCCTCTGCCCTAACTGGGCTGCCTCACCTTCAGGCTTTTCACCAATATGTGTCTTTCCTTCTTTCGAGATCCAGTCACAGCTGGGCACTCAGGTGGCAGAGGCAGGGGAATCTCTGTGAGTTTAGAGACAGGCTGGTCTATCTATACAGAGAAACCCTGTCTGAAACAATGATTTAAAAAAAAAAAATCCATTCAAAGGGGATTTTTTACAAAGTACCACAGACCCTTTAGCCGGGTGCTCCAAGGGGCTGCCGAATGCATATGAATCAGAGCCACCGGCCCCTACAGATGTTGGGTGCCCACACAGATCCTGCAGAGGAAAACAGGGCCAGAAGTGGGCAGAAGCACAAGAGAGTATTCTTGAGAAGCGTAAGCAGCTGCGGAGCCTGCACAGATTAACGCACATGGCTTCTCCTCAGAACTTCAAAAAGGCCAATGAGGAAGCGTGCTGTGTAGGCTTCATGGGTAATTATAACACCCAAATGAGACACACGTTGGTGGAAGTGCCACAGCACCAGAATACACGGCAAAGTTGACCTTAGCCTGCACAGAAGTCTCCTCAAAGGAGGGGATCCGGCCAGACGGCATGCCAAACAGCTGAAGTTTGAGAGCTGCAGCCTGACAATGGAGAATTATAGTTGCAAAGAATCACAAAGAACTTAAAAAAGGAGAGAGATTTATTTTTATTATTTGTGTGTATGTGGGTGGGGAAGGATACAGAAGTGTTGAATCCCATTGACCTGGAGTTAGCAGGTGCTGGCTGGGAACACAACCAAGGTCCTCTGTAAAAGTCCTCTTAGCCACAGAGGCATCTCTCCAGCCCCAAGAGGGTTTTTAAAGATGGGGAAACACTTGCATGTTGAGGAAACAGTATGTCTCAAGTAAGAGAAGCAAAACATTCAGATAGAAGGAGAGGAAGAAAGCACCCATCTGTCACAGTGGCCCTTCTGAGGGTGACCCCTCCCGTGCCCATATGAGGGTATAAGTCTTTGTCAATCACCAGTTTGGGGGGGCAGCTCTCTGTACCCACCACACTTTACATAAAGCCTCTGTGGTGGTTTGAGTAAGAATGGCCCCCAAAGTACATGTATTTGGCTACATGTACTTGGGCCCCAGTTGGTGGAACTGTTTGAGAATGATGGCCTTGTTGGAGGAGGAGCCTCACTAGGGACGGGGCTCTGAGGTTTCAAAAGCCCAAGTTAGCTCTCTCTGCCTTATGGATCAAGATGTGAGCTCTTAGCTAGCGCTTCAGCACTATGCCTGCCTGTCTGCCTGCTTCCATGCTCCATGATAGGCATGGACTCTAACTCTCTGAAATGGTAGAGCCTCAACCAAACAAGCTCTAAGTCGTCAAGGCCACGCACGATGTGTAATCACAGCAACACAAAAGCAGGGCAGACAACCTAAGACAATCTACATAGGTAACTACTTCCCAGCAGAGCTCACTGGCCTACTCTCCCTCTCACTCCTGCAGCAGCTGGCAGGCGTCCAGGGAGTAGACTTCAGTGCCCGCTCTGCCTCCACCCCTGGGCACAGTGCTGTGCCTGGGTCACCTGGCGCCACTCACCATCCCTAACCCATTCCCCTGATGGCATCCTCTCCTGCACTCCCATCTCTAACAATTTAAATTATCCCCTAAAGCATTAATTAGGATGAAAACCAAAGAAAAGAGGCATTCAAGGATCCGAGGCAACTGGGTCGGCATCGGTCTGGGCAGAGGTTGGCACATAAGTTTGAGAAGTCTTAGGGATCTGAAGCGAGGAAGATGCAGAGCCCAGGGGACTTCTGTGTCCCGAGGCCTCCACTTCATGTGTGATGAACACCTCTTCTGACACACCTAGCCCACCCAGGTGTGTTCCTCTCACCACTCCAATTCACAGATGAGAGGTGGATGCCAGGCCAGGGGAGACAAGCTGGGCACCCAGCTGCAAGGTGCCAGTCAGCCACGCCAGAAACCATGCTCAGGACAGGACTGACCCACAAAGATAGAGCATGGAGGAGGGCCTGAGTGAGAGTTCGTGTCTACTGGTGGAAAACTAAAACAGAAGTCCTGAAAATATTTATTTCAAATCAAGTATTTATTCATTAATAAATGGTAATGATGAACTCATGACATATTAGCAATTGTTTTTTGCTGGTCTGTTTTTGGTAAAAGATGTTTTCTAAAAAATATATATATATATATTCATAAGCTGGGTACAGTGGGGCATGCGTCTGATCTCAACATTTGGAGACACAGCTAGGTACACTGTGAGTTTGAGGCCAGCTTGGTCTATCTGGTGAATCCTAGGCCAGTCAAGGCTACATAGTGAGACGTCAACACTCATGCATGCACGTGCGATGGGTCAGAGATGGCTCAGCATCGTCTCAGGTCAGCTCTGTGTTCCCTGCTGCTGGCCACTACGTGGACTGAAGCCGGGGTGGGAATCCAGCTCTCACGAGCATATGTGCAGAAAGAAGGGGTGAGGTTGTGACCACGAGTGACACTGTACCATACCTGACACTAAGTTCTACACCAAAACTTGACAAATGCCCTTCTTACAAGTACGTCACGATGTGACCACTGCAAAGTAGCCACGAGAATCCTGAAAAAGTTGGGCAGAATGCTCAGCTGGCCAGCAGTTCATTCCTAGGTCTGTGCCAGGGAGTTATGAAAACATGCCCCCACAAAAACTCCTAAGGGGGTGTTCTTTGCCAAAAGATGGAACCCCAGTGTCTATCAGTGATGAGTGACTGATGTGACAGCTGCTCACAGGGGAAAACCGGGCCTTGAAGATGCAGGTCACAGCAGTTATAAAAGATCCCATGTTACAAGATTCCGTGTAATATGGAATGCTCAGGATGGGGGCAGAGGAGATGTCTCGGGCAAAGCACTTGGCTTATCGAGTGAAGGTGCTTGCCACCTAGCCTGACAACCTGAGTTCACACCCTGGGGACCCACATGATGGGAAGGAAGGACTGACTCCCAAAAGCTGTCCTCTCTCCAGCCTTCCCCACAACACTATACAAATACACACTCACACAAAATAAATTAAAAGGCAATATATTTTTTTAAAACAGGAAGTAGACTGGAGATTGTTTAGGGCGGAGAGAGGCGAAGTGAATAAAAGTGCCATAGTTGTGACTGTGGTAACAGCTACCTTACTGTGACCTTGCTAAAGCTGTTGGGCTGCACAATCAGGTGAGCCATGCTGTGGAAGGTGAGCTGTGCATCAGTGGGCACACATGGACTCTGAACACAGCCTACCCACTACCCAAGCACTGTTAGAGTAATGGCCTGCTCTGTAAACAGAGCTTTGCAGTTCTGCCAAATGGTGACACACTTCTGTCACATTATACCCCAGAACCCACATTCACTCACATCACAGCTAACAAGTTAACAAGTTCAGGGGAGGAAACCCTGTCTCCAAAAGTCTCATCTTCCCTTGAAAGCTTGTGTTTTATCCATCAGTGGAGAATGTAAGCTATCTCTGTGAGGAAGTGGGCTCTCTCCATTCAAGCAAAAGTCTGATGAACAAACCATTTACCACTCATTCTTCTAGGTGAGAAGGGGGAACGGTGGCCAGTTTAGCTTGTAACTTGACTGTCAGCCAGAGTGTAGTGTGCAGAAGGCAGCATGGGCTGCCTAGCTCCCACCTCAGCACAGAGCAGAGAGGAGCTTAACATCAGTCATTTTCCTGCTTCCTTCTCAGTGAGCCACCTTCTGTACCTGCCTGTGCAACAGGAGAGAAAATGCTTTAGGGCAAATGCTCTGGCCCGTGCCCTAGTGTGCTGAAAGCCACCACCTGTGTTCCAATTCAGGTTCTTGTAGTACTTTCCACCACGGTTGGTTACTGTTGAGGCAAGTGTCACCACAGAGGAACACAGCCAACATGGTTTAAGTGTTATTTTAAAACAAACTCAGACCTCACAGACTCCAGAGTGTGCAGACCACACTCTTAGAAACTGACTGGCTTGGCTGCTCCGAAAAACTAAGCCCCAGGAGCCTAACACAAGACAAACTTCTTGTCTGTGCAACCAGTGTCCCACTGTGAGCAGAGACTGCGCTACAGGGTGGGAACTACATATGCACCAAGCCCAGAGCTCAAGCAGGGGGAGGGAGGGCCAGAATGAGTGAGAAGCCTGAAGGGGAGTGCAGGGAAGGATGCAGGTCTTCAGATCCTTTCTGGATGCCACCAGTCAAACACGGAGACCGGTTTTCTCAGCAGAGAAGTAATACAGCCACAGGACCTAAAATGAGACAGATGAGCAACACCCAGCCTGTGGCTCCCCTTCACATATACGAGGCCAAGCAATACAAAGAAAACAGCCTGAAACCAGAGAATGGAAGAGGTGGCAGCTACAAATGAGTCTTAGGCAAAGCAATCCTGACAGCCTGCAAGACAGTATTCTAAGAGTGCTCCAAGAGACTCACAGGAGTGGTCCAAGAGCCAACAGGAGAGTGCTCCAAGAACTGCACAGGAGAGTACTCCAAGAGCCAACAGGGGAGTGCTCCAGGAGCCACACAGGAGAGTGCTCAAAGAGTCTCACAGGAGTACTCCAGGAGCCTCAAAGGAGAGTGCTCCAAGAGCCTCACAGGAGAGTGCTCTAAGAACCAGAATTGAAGCAAAGGTAGAGGCTATTCTCTGCACCCTAGGGCAAGAGCAGAGGCTGACACACAGGCTGGCTGGGGTATGCAGAAGGATGCCTTCCTTTCTTTTAGGGGTACCATTTCACAACCAGACAGGACATTCTACCAACAACTTCTAAGACCCGTATTTCACAGGTGAAAGCCAGACGGACAGCACATGACCACAGAGGCAAGTGGCCAGATGGTGGGCAGGAGACTGCCTGACACTGGGTCACCCAGCATGGCCTGAGTCACTAACTATGGTCAGTTAGACCCAAAATAACCAAAAGCAATTCAATCATGCAGAGAACCTCAAATGAGCGCTCTTCACTTGAGCAGAGAATTACACATTTGGGAAGGTCTGTGGTGGAAACCTTATCTAGATTATCAGCCCCGTCACTGCACAGAGAATAGAGAATAGGAAGCAGACATGCTGGGCTACTGCACCAGTCCAGGCAATAGACAGGAGTGTCTTGGCCCTGAGGGGGCAGCAGAGATCATTCAGGCACATGAAAAAGACAGGACATCACAGAGCTAGAGCCAATGTTTTGGGGACAGGAGTGACAGAGAGAAAAGAATGGCATAACCGTGGGAACAGTTTTGTCATTTAATATGACAGTACAAAACTGGCAGAAGAGTTCTGTTCCAGGTGTGTGCAATGGAGACACTTACCAGAATCTGGGAAACTGAGACAGGAGGATTATGAGGTCAAATCTGGACAAGATAGTAAAACCCTCCATTAAAAAAAAAAAAAAAAAAAAAAAAAGACAAACAATGAAGCAGAAAAACAGAAGAGTCTGAGATTTTTTGGGACGGATCTGTAGACACGTTTGTGGAGGGCATTTTTTTTTTTATTATTATTAATGATTAATGTAGGTGAGACCATCTCACTGTGGTTAGTGGCATCCATCCCTGGGTAAGGTGGTCCTGGGGTGTAACAGACAGAGTAACAAACATACTGAGATGTTAATGGCATACAGAGGAACAATGGGACTGTTCATACCTGGGCAGGTGTAGAGAGAAAGCCTGGGGTCGGTTCCAGCACATTCAAAGGTCTACGGGACAGAGGAAACAGCATGGGGTGTGGAAATGGGCTCTACAGACACAAGTCACTAAGACCAAGTGCTCACATGACCACACACATCCCTGCAACGTCTGGCCTGGGCCTTTTCTTCTCTCCCCTCTCATAGGTCTCCTGCTACCCTAAAGCTTAGGTGAGGGTTACTCTCATGTCGACATTTGCTTTTATTCTCATCTGTATCTAATGCAGGAACCTGACCTCTGAGAACTCCATCAGGACAGCTGCCTCACTCAGTCCTTCCAAAGAGGCCACAAAGAGATCTGAGTAGACATGTCTTCCATGAAGTAGCCCTTAGGCTCTGCACCACTAGCCACTGGGAAATGGAAACAAAGTTGCAATGAGGACACTACACACCTGTTGTAAGAAGGCAGAAAAGAGAGACTATAGCAGAATACAAAGATGGACTGAAACACAGTGAAAAAGGGCAACACGATCAAAAGACTATGATACATAAAAACAGAGAGTGAAACACAAAATAAAGGTTAAAATGGACCAAAGGAGATTGTAGCCGTGAAAGGAGGAGGAAGCAGTTGAACCACAGAATGTAACTCTGACGAGGTTGGTTTCTAGGCAAACTTTGGGTACTGTGTCTACGAAAGCAGGATTTGTCACACAGCACAAAAAATGAAAGGAGAGGTTTAGAAATTAAAAAGCAAGCAAACAAACACTAAAACCCACCCAAGTTGCGCACAAAAGGGGGCACCTCCAGGAGCCTGCTGGGTCACCCAAGTGGACACAGCACAGAGCCCTTGGCCACTTCCTGGCTTAGCCATCTCTACCTCCCGCCCATGTCCATCAAGAGGCCTGGGACAGTGCAGAAGGGAAAGTGCCAGAGGAGTGTGCACCAGCGGGACATAGAGGGAGGGAAGGTACAATGACCTGGAGTGGGATGACCCCCTTTTTGGCATCCATGCGGACTTCAATGCACAGGAGGCTAGGAGAGATGAGGCAGAAGACAGGAGGATCAGAAGACTGGAGGACCAGACAATCAAAGGGAGGACTGAGGTTGAGGACCAGAGATTATTGGATTGGAGAAAGGAGGGCTGAGGGAGGATTGAATGGTTGCATATCAAAAAGAGGACTAGAAGGTGGAGGACTTCAGGGAGGTGCATCAGAGGAACAGAGGAGGACGATAGAGGACAGAGGATTGAGGGTGGAAGGAAGTGTGAGGACTGAAGTCAAGGGAGGAGGGCGGGAGAAGGACGGAAGGTGAGAGGAAAGTGGGTTGGAGGAGGACAGAGGACGAAGGATGGGAGATAGGAAGGCAGAGAATCAGAGGGAGGAGAGCTGGAGGAGGACGAGTTTGGGAGGAAGAAGAGATGGAGGATAGGAAGGAGGATTAGAGGAGAATAGAAGATGGGGAGAGGGGATGGAGGAGGAAGAAAGATCAGAGGGACGGAGGTCCAGAGCGGAGACGCTTACCTGTTTGAAGGTGCTGCTGAGGAAGTACACCAGCGAGAGCCCGAAAACCAGGGCGAGCACCCAGCGCTTGCGCAGGAGCCGGCGCCACAGCAGCGCCGCAAGGTTCAGCATCCCGGCAAGGCGCAGGCGCAGAGACGACCCCGCGGCATGACCCCCAGTTCGCTTTCAATACCTCCTTGCTAACCCGCAGCGACTCGGACCACGTGATCCGCCACATGCCCCGCCCCGCCCGGTGACGCCACCGCCAGGCCCCTCCATGCCTTCTCGCCATTGGTCCCTCCGGAGTCATGGCCTTCTATTGGCTGAATTTGGAGGTAGAGGCGGGCCGTTGCGGACCAGAGGCAGGCTTCGCTGTGCCTGGGTCTTAGCGCCAACATACACCCTCGGCTCAGCCGGCCGGAAGTCACGTGCCGTCAGGGCCTCTCCAGTGATTGGCTGGGCTGTATTAGCAGAGGCCGTGATTGCTGAAGTGTTTGGCAGGTAAACGAAGGCGAGGCTCGCCCGCCGCTACCCTTTGGCCCTGCAAGCCAGGCCAGAGACGCGCTTCCCCAGTTGGCGCGGTGCAGCCCTGGACCGGCCTGGGGACCTGTAGGATCGGTGTGGCCTCATTGGGAGGGCCAGGGTGTGGGGAACAGAAACGGTTCATTCATTCATTCATTCATTCATTCATTCATTCATTCATTCCATTACATCCTGCGTGCAAGATACGCTCCTGGATTCGATCTTAGAATAGTTGTACCGCCTGCCTGCAACAGAACCTTGGGCACTTAATTTAGGATGTTGTGTCAAGCTTGTGAATGGAAACTTACGGATACTGTGTATTACTTTTTTCTGAGGATGAGTAGTAGTGAGGCCAGGGGGAGGGTTAAGCCATATCGCAATTTTTTGGGACGTGTTACATGATGACACGTCTTTATTTATGAAAATGGCGGGGTTAAAGTTTTAGCTTGGTGATAGAGTGCTTGCCTGTAATATGAAGATGATGCTAAGGAGTCTTTCCAGCTAATTTAACCTTCCAGAAAAGATAGGTGCCTTAGCTGGTGGTTTCCTAGGTTGGTGGTCCCAAAGAATTAAGAAGCCCTTCCATTGGCCAGTTGTGTTGGCCTGGACTAAGATGGATCTCTGTAGGGAAAATACTCACAGGAAGCAGAGTCTGTTCACGGAAGCATATTCTTTAATTCTTTAAAGGTTTTATTTTTAAATTATGCGTGAGTGTGGGTTTGTGCCTGTGAGTGCAGGTGCCTTCTAGGCCGTAGAGGGAGTCTGATCACCTGGAGCTGAGGGTAGAGGTAGTTCTAAGCTGTCAGTGTGGGGGCTGCGAACTGGACTTCCGTCCTCTGCAGGAGCAGTGTGCACACTGAGCTGTCTCAGGCTCTATCCCTTCTTTCTTGGTCTTTTATCGATGTGGGCAGTGGAACAAGGTTTAGGGATCTGGGAAAGCACAAGGTGATTTGATCTTTACACAAGTACTCCATCATAGAAGGTGTCTGGAAGGAGGTACCATTTGCATTAAGGAGGTAACTTTGTGACCCTCAGTCTTAAACCCCACTTCAGGGAAGGAACAGCAAGTACCAAGGCCTGGCTGTAGGGTCTGTAACTTTAGAGTGTCTGGAAGTAACTCACAGGATTGACATTGTAAACAGGTGAGGACACCTGTCCAACGACTCCAGTCTTTATTCAGTTTTACTGGGAAGCCAGTGGAAGTTCTAAAATGGTTTTCTGTGTTCCCCAGTTAGGATGCATGGTCTTCTTGTTCTTTCTGCCAGTGTGTGTGTGCGTGTGTGTGCGTGTGTGTGCGTGTGTATGCGTGTGTATGCGCTCGCGTACGCACACCAACTTATTATGTGATATATGTCATCCCGTGGCCTGTTCACCCAAGTGCTTTGTGCCACTCAAGGTCTCGGATGAGCCTCCTGCCCTGTGCCTCCCTCTGAAGAAGAGGAGGGGAAGGCCTGAGCCCTCTGGGACCCAGCGACCACATCCCATCAGGAACCCTGAATGTCCACGGAGCATTTCATCAACATGGAGTTCTGAAGTCCATGTGGCTCCTTGCTGTGCACCAGGTTCCGTGTCTCTGTGAATTCACACCTTCACTTAGGAAGTGTGTGAGATGGGAGGAGCCTTTGGGTGTGACCCCTCCATTCCCTCCCAGGGGACAGATGAGGAGTGGAAGGCCACAAAGAGGTTACTGACTCGTCTGAGGTCACATAGCAAGATAAGGGCAGATAACATCTGCCCCTGTACAAGAAGTACAAGTACCCCATCTTGTACTTTCTGTGGCCCCATTTGTTGTCTTCCCCTTTTGCAAAGGAACCACCTCCACCCATGGCTCTCAGTATCCTCACTGGGAGATAGGGGTGCTTACTCTCTCCTGTGGGTATAATACCCAGCTGAGGATTGTGTGGCAGATACGGTAGAAATGTGGTTTGGAAATTGTCAAAGAGCCTTAGTCGTGTAATGTAGGAGTGATACTTACAGTTATCATGGCAACAGGCAAGGGGTGTGTCAGGAGCTGTGGCTCACACATGTGTCGGCTTTCAGGTGCTAAGGAAAATGCAGAGACGCCACAGTAGCAACACGGACAGTATTCCACCTGAAAGGTAAGAGTATCCCCTCGCCCCCCCCCACAATTTCTTCCTATTTGGGGACCCCAGGCTCCACATGGTGAAATGAATTGAACAATAGCAGCTTCTCAATGTTAGTTGTTGGAGCTATAAAACAGGCCCAATGGATAATTGCTTTGCCATGTATTTGGCGGCTTTGCATGCCTATAAGAACATGCCCAAGGCAGCTGGCATTATAAATAAAAAAGGTGTATGTAGCTCAAATACTTGGAGGCTGAGAGAGCAAATGGCAGAGCCAGCTCAGTGGCCATATTTGACCTCACCATCAGGCATGCATGGCAATGAGGGTGGGAGTGATTTACTTCACAAACAAGGCAGAGAGGCCCAGGTAGAAGCCTCAGTGGATAAAAGTGCTTGCCAGGTAAGCCTGAGGAACAAACTTTAAATTCCCAGAACCCATGCCAAAACTGGGCAGGCTGTGCAGTCACCTGTGATACCAGCACCTGGGAGGTAGAGACGCAATCCTGGGTCAACTTATCTGGCTGGACTAGTGAAATCTGCTTGCTCTGGGTTCGGTGAGAGACCCTCCCTCAAAATATGCAGTGGACATCTGTGCTCTACTCAAACTGGGCTCCTTCACATGCACACCTCACGATCCCTGCCTTTATTAAGGTTGGGGTACACCTGCCTCAGACCTACCACAGTGGAGAGCGACGGCCTCGCAGTGGCTACTGACACAGGGCAGCTGCAAGGACAGGTCTCAAACCCTGTTACATGGAGCCATATGGGTCCATGTGACTCAGGTCAGTGACCATTCCTGTCAGGTTTTCCTTTCTGGAGATGCCTTGCCTCCACTAGCTGCTACAGCACACCCCACAGGGTCCAGCCAACCTCTCTTTCACTAGTATGGAGTCTTGGAAGTCTAAGGTCAGAGAGCTGACAGATCTATGCTGAGAGCTGCCGCCTGGTTCCTAGATGGCTGTCTGTTGTGTGAACCAATGAGCTTACTGGGGTCATTTTCAAGAGCACAAGTGAATCACAGGCAGCTGTGTCACCAAGAAGCCCAGCCCATCAGGAGTGAGACTTATGTTAGGATCCTCCCTTCAGGGAACCTTCCAGAACCTGTATATTCTAGCTCCTCCTGAGACCATGTGCAACTGTTGGGGGTCATGAGATTTCTCCCCCAACCCCTTCTCCCTCTGTCAGTCCTAATCTTGTGAGGATTGTGAGCAGCTGTTCAGGTTTGAGGAAGGTAGCAGCCATGTCATTCCCAGAGATGGTGTTTTACACCAGTATACAGTCTCAAGCATTTTGTCATAGTCATGGATAGCAGACAGATGTGCCAGCTATGGTGCCTTTGGTCGTGGTGCCAAATGTCTCAGTTTCTTCAGCCTTAGAAAAATCATACAGGTGATGTCAGATATGCTGATGGATGAAGGAATGTTTCATAAGACACAGACGTAGCATCTGTCTTACCATTAGCTTGCCTGATGGAGTCTGCTGAGTGGAGGACAGCTTTGGTGGCAGAAAACAAACAAACAAACAAACAAACAAAAACTGTCTACCATGCATTGAGGATGTACTCCATGCCTCCATTAGAGGAGCCTGAAGTTGAGAGAATGACATTCGGAGAGGGCAAGACCATTAGCAGAGTCACGCAGCCAGGCAGTGGCAAGGCTGAGATTTGATGGGTCCATTTGTTCCCATCAAAATTTGCGCTTCAATTTTTAATCACATTATTTATTGGGGAGGGGTGCCCATGTGATGGCATGTGTGTAGGTCAGCTTGTGGGAGTCAGTTCTCTCTTTCTGCCATGTGAGTCCCAGGTGTCAAACTCCTCAGGTTGTCAGGGCTGTCTGCTGATGCTGATGTCTGTGACTCCACCTCATTGGCCCTTTTAGATGCCCTATTTTGCCTTCTCAGATCCAAGTGGATCCATTACCCTAAGCTGTTTGAGCTGTTGCCCTTAAGTGGTTAAGTTTGAAGTGTAGCCTTCAATTCCCTAAGGTATATTCTTTCCCATTTAGGCTACGCTCCCTGCTGGATACAGGAGAGGGGCTGAGGGGAGGGAAGCCAACTTAGGAAAAGTCCTTGGTGGGTTGAGCTTTCCCTAGATTTATCAAAGTTCCCCAGAGCCTCAGAAACTCAAGTGAGCTCAGGGGCTGGGGGAGGCTTTCCAGAGTCCCCTAGGATGATAGGGTCATCCACACAGGCCTGGGCACCTGGCAGGACATATGCTTTCTGAGCCAAGATCTTGAAATGCAGAGAAAGCTCAATTCCTTTGAGACACATAGCCATGGTGTCTGTTGTTGTTGCCACTAATATCATCAGTATTTTTATCCAGAGCCCAAGGGAGGAGAACAATTCCCAAGCTTTGGAGCCACCAGGGAGGGGGCCTAGTGGGGAGAGTGATGAGGCAGCCATCTTCAAACTGTGCCAGGTATAGGAAAATGTACCATGAAGTCCAGTTTGTGAAGGAAACAACCCTGAGATTTCTCCAGACCAAACTGGTCCCTTGCCCCATGTCTCAGTGTCCTATACAACATTAATAGGTTTTCTACAGTAAAAGCAATTCCACGACCAAATGAGTTTTGTGAATACCAGGCTCAAGCAAATGCTTTAAACAATTCCATTTATCCATGTGTGTTGGGCAGTCTTCTTACACCGAATAGGTCCCAGGATTTGAACACAGGCTTTGCAGCAAGCACTTCTACCCACTAATCCATTTAGCTGGCTCCTAAGATGTACTCTGTTAGTTGCTGGCCATCTTGGAGCCAGACTAAATCCCTCATTCCTTCAAACAGCATTGGTTGAGCATGCTCTGTGAGAGATGCTTTATGCTTACTGGAGAGGTACAGAAGGGGACAGCAGTCCAGTTTGTCCCTGTCGCTGCACGATGGAACCCCAGGGGATTTGAGAAGTTCAGGTACAGGGTCCACCCCCAAAGATCTTGATGCACTTGGTCTTTGATGGGTCTAGACCACCCATAGTTCTCTTGAGTTCCCCATGGTGACGACAGCACACAGCTAGGAATGAGGGCCTTGGGTCACTAGGGAAATAAGTAGAGACTGGATGGCACAAGGTCAAGTCCAAAAGCAGCTTTTATTGGGAGTGGAGAGCATAAGAAAGCAAGTGAGTCCAGTGCCAGGATGTGGCTCAGTGGGTAGAGTGCTTGCCTTGTACTCAGAAAGCCCTGGGTTCAATCTCCAGCACTGCAAAAACCTTGTGGCACACACCTGAAATCCCAGGACTTGGGAGATAGAGGTAGAATTGGGAATTCAAGGCCAGCCTCAGCTACATAGCAAGTTTGAGGCCAGGTTAGGATAAATGAGACCCTGCCCCAAGAATAAATGGGTGGATGGATAGATAGATAGATAGATAGATAGATAGATAGATAGATAGATAGATGTAGGCTGTAGAGTTAGTTGACCTGGGACCAAATCCTAGGTTCTTATCCCTCACCAGCCATTCACCTGTGACCAAGTGCCTCTGTCTGTGTGCCTCTGTTGGTTTATCTGTGAAATGAGGATATCCTGTATACCTAACAGGCTGGCAGGAGGATTTCAAATCAAAGTAACACACAGGACTTACCACTGGGCAACATTCCCCCACTCTCTTCTTTCTCTCTCTTATGACAGGGTCTCACTAAGTTGCCCAAGATGGTCTTGAAGTTAGGCTACTCCTGCCTCAGCCTCCCAGTGCAGGGATCACCAGCCTGTTGGAGCTGGTGCCACTGGTGGCTTCACACACAGAGGCTTGCTTCTCGAAGTGCTGGAGGCAAGGTGCCAGGTCTGCTTTCTGGAGTCTCTCTTCTTGACCTGCTGTGTGTCTGACCCAAGCTCTCCCCCAGGGACACATGCCATGCTGGGTTGGGGCCCACTATTTAAAGAAGGGTCACCTTGTGCGGTTCCAGGGCTCAGGACTACACCCCATTTTGAGGGGCGACACAGCTGGGTCAGTCACATTGTTGGTACATTATGCTCACAATCCCATGAGGTTGCTAGTTTTCTGTCTCATACCTGTTAAACTATTTTTCTGTTGCAAAACAGACCACTACAGGCTGGATAAAGTTATTAAAAAATGTTTGTTTCACTTACAGTTCCAGATGTTTGTGATACATCTGGTTATGGGTTTTTCCTGGTTCATTCCCTCTTTCCATGAAGCTCCCAGGATACAATCCTGGGCTTATACACGATGACCTCATCCAGTTCTAATTGTCCAGAGCGCCCCCCCCCCCCCCACCCTCTGGATACCGTAGTGGAGCTAAGTCTGCCACCCTCCCAGCACAGAGGTTGATCTGTAGTGTGAGCTTGGGGCAGGTTTGATGTGAGCTTTGTCTGCCATCTTGTCCTGCAGAAGCCGCAGCCAGGTGCTCAGCCCTGAGGCCAGCGTCGATGAGGGTGGTGTGTTTGAGAGCCTGAAGGCAGAGACGGCCTCCCCTCCCGCACTCTTCTCAGGCCTGGCAGGTAGCCTGCCTGCCAACCCCTTCCCAGCAGGCCTGGTGCTGGGCTCCACAGCAGGTGGTGGGGACGTGTTCATCCCAATGCCAGCCACCAGGGATGAGGCCGGAAGCCGCAGCACCGAAGGAACCACGTACCACCACCGCCAGGCCCACCACCACTTCCACCATGGCGCCCACCGCGGGGGCTCCCTACTGCAGCATGTGGGTGGGGACCACCGTGGGCACTCCGAGGAAGGGGTGGACGAGCAGCCAGGAACTCCGGCACCTGCCCTGTCCGAGCTAAAGGCTGTCATCTGCTGGCTTCAGAAAGGACTACCCTTCATCCTCATCCTGCTGGCCAAACTCTGCTTCCAGCACAAGCTAGGTGAGTCCGGGTGGGCCTTGCGACGCTAAGGGAAGGGCTGCGCAGGCCCAGAACTGGGATCAGGTAGTAGCAGGGTTATGGTGCGCAATGCCTGAGTACACGGTGTTCTGAGTCAGACCTGGGTTCGAATTCCAGCCTAATTGTGTATCTTGTACAAGTGACCTGGCCTCTCTGATCCTTGGTTTTCTCTTACGCCCACTGGGGTTGAGATAGAAACGTCTTTCCGTCGGAAGAGCAGAGCGTCAGGCTTCAGGGGTCTGAAGCACAGCTCTGGCCTTTCCTAGCTGTGTGACACTGGCCGTGTTATTTAGCTCCCTGCCTCAGTTCCGAGAGTCTTTCACATGGGGGTTAAATCTAGACAGCTGTCCCCCAGTGTCCCCAATTCTGCACCTGTAGATTCAGCCAACTACACATGGGACCATCAAGGAAAGGCTTGGAGTGGCTGGCGGTACAGTGCCTTCATGCATGGGGACTCGTGTTCAATCACTGGTTCCCATATAAATAGCTGGGCACACACCTGCCATCCCAGCACTGGGGAGGCAGAGGCAGAGGATCCCCGAAGTCCCCTGGCCAGGTTCAGTGAGAGACTTTGGCTCACAAAGTAAGGTGGAGTGTGATGGAGGAAGACAGCTGATGTCGATGTTTGGTTCCAGGTACGTGGATGCACGTTCATGTCCATGTGAAAACACCACCTTTGGGAAGAAGAGAGTGTCAGTTGAACTTGTCCTGACCATTTTTCCATTCACAGTACAGTATGAGGTCTTCCTGTCATGGTGTGCATTCAGAGGTGATTTAACCTACACAGGAGGATGTGTGTAGGTTCTGTGCAAATGTTGTGCCATTTTCTGTTCAAAGTGAAGCAGCCATGGATTTGGGTGTCTATGGGGATCCCAGGATACTCCCCACAAATGCTGAAGGGTGACATTCTTCATGGAATCATGATGAAGATGTATTTGAAGTCATGTATGTAGCACATACAGAGGAAGTGTTCTGCAAGTGTGTGGTTATCTCTGTGTTCTTTGCCGCCACACATTCAAATAACCAGAACTGGAGAGATGGCTCAGGAGGTAAAGGCACTTGGGACCAAACCCAATGGCCTGAGGTCAGTCCTTCAGACCCATGTAAGAGGAGTAAACCCACTCACAACACATAGGTTCTATCACACACATACACACACACCTGACAGAGCTTGGCACATGGCAGGTACTCAGCATGACGGGGTACCTGTCATGTAGTACTTAGCCAAGTACCTAGCACACACTCACCATTTCATGATGGTCTCAGCAGTGTTGGCAGTCTGCCTGCCAGCAAGGTGACTCAGTGGGAAAAGGTGATTGCCTTGCAAGCCTGACTTGCCGAATTCGATGCCAAGCACCCATGGTTCTGGGGAAGAAGAGAAGAGCTGAAGATTGTCTGCCTACACACACACATACTGTGGCACATGTGATCTCATGCTCAGAGATGCACATGCAATAATAATAATGATAATAATAATAATAATAATAATAATAATAATAATAATAATAATAATAAAGAAAATCTCAAGATGAGACTGTCTTTTGTTTTGCAGTTTTCCCTCTCTGGGGAGCTCCAGCCAACTTTAACCCCCCTCCTCCTTGCTGGAGCCCCCGTGTCACTACCCTTCCCTTCTGTTCCTAGATGTGGAAGCCAACATGTCCTCAAGTCTCACCCTGAATTCTGCCAAACTTGTGCCTAAGGGTTTTTTTTTTTGTTTGTTTTGTTTTATTTATTTTGTGAGACAGGGCCTCATTTGTAGCCTTGGCTGTCAGTGTAACTGTGTGAGTTTGTAGCTGAGGCTCATCTTGAACTTGCAGCAATCCTCCTGCCTCTACCTCCCCAGTTCTAGAATTATAGGCATGTGCCACCATGCCTGGCCCTTGGAGCTAAGTTATTTTTGTGTGCAGTCATTATTATTTTTTGTTTTGGTTTGGTTTGGTTTTCACAATCAGTTTGTTTGAGACAAAGTCTTCCTTTGAAGCTCAGCAGACATGAAATTTGGTGTCTTCCTGCCTCAGCCTCCTCTGTGCCAAGATCACAGACAGGTATGGCCGGTATGCACCACTACGCCCAGCTTCAGTGTGCTGTTTTAGTGGTTGTTTTTAATTTACATTTGTTTATTTAGTGTGTGTGCATGTGTGCACAAACATATGTACAATGGCACCCATGTGGAGGCCAGAGAGTCCTTTCTGTCCTTCTGCAATGTGGGTCCTGGGGCTTGAACTCCAGTTGTCAGGCTTGGCTGCATGCCCCTTTACCTGCTGAGCCAGCTTACCAGCTCTGTTGTTTAAACAAAGGGTAGGGTTACCACTCTTACATGCTTCTAATGAAGAGAAACATTTCAGTGCAGTCCATCTAGAAGAGAGCACAACAGTCCAATGCCAGCCTCGTCCCAGTCCTGTCTGCAGTAACAGCAGGATTTGGAAAGTCATTCCCTGGGAGCAGGCCCAGGCTGTAGCTTGCTGGACAGTGCTGATTAAGGGAGTTGTGGAATCCAGTTCAGTCTCATTCTCCTTTCTGCCCAGTCCTCTTCCTGACAGCAGAGTTTTATCTTTTCCCTTAGCATTGTTTTAATTTCTTGTAGTCCCCTATGTCTGTATTACAAGTAACTCCAGGTTCATTTTAGAGCGGACAGGGCACTACTCCCCAGAGTCACTGTTGGATACAGCCTGTGTGCCCTGTCCCACTGTGAGATAGGTACTATAAGCTGTCTGCCCATC